GGGGGGGGGGGGGGGGGGGGGGGGGGGGGGCGTTGGTGTTGGAGGCCTTGCCGGGGACCTCGCCTGGGGAAAAGCACGTTCAGTCAGATAGTGGGCAAGCGTTTAATATGTTCACGTTCGGGTGGTAGGCAGCTACCTCGCAGAGATGCAAAAGGCAGAACGGAAGGAACGGAGGATGATGGCCTCTTCTGTTTCCATCTGAGAAGTGGGGACCCATGGGTGTCTTGTCAGAAGCTATAGAAGGTGATTTGACTTGGTGGAAGTGATTGACTGAAAATACTGGAATGAACCAAATGGTCATCATTGCACTCAGTTTCAGTGACAAGTCAGGATGGAGTCGGAGGGCTCCTAACCAAGTCATAATAGTCCTAGACTCCTATAGTTGCTTTAATTTTTTGTTTGTATTTACTTTTATTTTTTGTAGAGATGAGGTCTAACTATGTTGCCCAAACTGGTCTGAAAATCCTAATCTCAAGGGATCCTCCTGCCTTGGCCTCCCAAAGTGCTGGGATTATAGGCGTGAGCCACCGTGCCTGGCAAGTGGCTATAGTTCTTAAAAAATGAAAAAAAAATTTTTTTCCAGTGGAGATGAGGTCTTGCTATGTTGCCAGGCTGATCTCAAATTCCTGAGCTCAAGCTATCCTCCCACTTTAGCTTCCCAAAACGCTGGGATTACGGCATGAGCCACCAAGACTGGCCTATTATAATTTTTATAATACTTCTTTTGAATCCTTAATATTTACTTATTTTATTTTTTATTTTTTGAGTTGGAGTCTCACTCTGTCACCCAGACTGGAGTGCAGTGGCTGCTCCCGGCCACCGCAACCTCGACCTGCTGGACTCCGGTGATCCTTCCACCTCAGCCTTCCAAGTAGCTGGAACTACAGGCATGCGCTACCAGGCCCGGTAATTGTTTGATTTATTGTAGCGATGAAGTCTCGCCCAGGTGGGTTTCGAACCGGCGGGCTCAGGCAATCTACTCACCTCAGCCTCCCAAAGCGCAGGATTACAGGCTGAGCCACTGAGCCCGGCAATCCTTAATATTTAAAGCAAAGCTTCCCAAACTCTGATACACATAAAAATCACCTAGAGATTTTGTTAAAATGTTTGGCCAGGTATGGTGGTTTACACCTGTAATTCCAGTACTTGAGGAAGCCCAGGCAGGAAGCCTGCTTGAACAAACAAATTCAAGACCAGCCTGGGCAACATAGAACCCCATCTCAAAAACACAAAATAAGGATGAGCATGGTGGCTCAAGTCTGTAATCCCAGCACTTTGGGAGACCAAGGTGAGAGGATTGCCTGAGCTCAGGGGTTTGAGACCAGCCTGGGCAACTTGGTGAGAACTTGTCTCTAAAATAAATAAAAAAACCCATACAAACAAAAGAATTAGTGCAATTACTCTAGGAGTCCAGGACTATTATGTCTTGGTTTGCAGCCCTTTGACTCCATCCTGACTTGTCACTGAAACTGAGTGCAATGGTCCATTCCAATATTTTCAGTTTACTACTTCAACCAAGTCAAATCACCTTCTATAGCTCCTGACAAGGCACCCATTCAAAAATAAAATAAAACAAGCTGGGCTCGGTGGCTCAGCCTGTTATCCCGTGCCTTGGGAGGCTGAGGTGAGTGGATTGCCTGAGCCCGCGGGTTCAAAACCCACCTGGGCAACTTGGTGAGACCTCATCTCTACAATAAATCAAAAAATTAGCCGGGTGTGGTAGCGCGCACCTGTAGTTCCAGCTACTTGGAAGGCTGAGGCAGAAGGATGGCCGGAGCCCAGCAGTTCGAAGTTGCGGTGGCCGGGAGCAGCTACTGCACTCCAGTCTGGGTGACAGAGTGAGACTCCAACTCAAAAATAAATAAATAAATAAATAAATAAAGGGTGACAGAGTGAGACTCCAACTCAAAAATAAATAAATAAATAAATAATAAATAAATAAAATAAAACAAAACCAAAGAGTTGGTTCTTATTTATCAGGTTTGGAGTGCAACCTGAAATCCTGTATTTTTTTGAGTAGGAGTCTCACTTTGTCGCCCAGGCTGGAGTGCAGTGGCACGTTCACTGCCGGGTTCAGGTGATCTGCCTCAGCTTTCCAAGTAGCTGGAACTACAGGCATGTGCTACCACACCTGGCTAATTTTTTGATTTATTGTAGAGATGATGTCTTACCAAGTTGCCCAGGCTGGTCTCGAATCAGTGAGATCAGTCAATCCTCTCTCCTTGGCCTCCCAAAGTGCTGGGATTATAGGTGTGAGGCACCATGCCCAGCCAAATCCTGTATTTCTAACAAGCTCCCAGGTGATGACCATCTCCTGGTCTGTGGATAACTCTGAGTGGAAAGGACTTAAAGTATCACTATCCAGTAGAACTTTCTGCAGTGATAGAAATGCTTTACTGGAGCTGGGCTAGGTGGCTCAGCCTGTAATCCTGCACCTTGGGAGGCTGAGGTGAGTGGATTGCCTGAGCC